ATATATTCTGAAATATCTTTGCTTGCTATTTTGTTTTTGGTGGTGGTGTTTGTTTTGTCTTTAGACAAATATATCTTAAGTAACAGATGAAGTTTTGTCATATATTTCACTAAGTGTGTTCAGGAAGACTAAATATAACTGAACTTAAATACATATTAGTACAACCAGTGTTTCATGCTAAAACACATAAAAATGCAATTAATTGGCAGTAACTTTTTAGAAACTGTGGAAATGTAGAGAGGACTTATGAAGAAAAACAAATTATAGGTTACTTCCCAAATTATGCAGAGAATTGCCTCATTCTATACTTCATTTTGCTCTGAGAGTTCTGTCCTAAGGCAAAATCCTCAGAGGCTGTTTTCAGGAAAGGATATTGGAGGGAGAAAGGCCAGGTACATGGAATAGTAGCTCCTGGTTTTCTTTCGTGCTCTGAAAATCTCTTTGAAATGTGGGATCATGGATCCCAAAGAAGGAGAGAGGTCCTACATTTAGGCTCTAAACTGGGTTTCCAATCTTAGAGCGCCCACATCCAATATAAGTTCAGCATCCTAGGTATAAATTCAGAACTGCTGTTCAGCCATAGGAGACCTAAACTTGAACATCATCACACTCCTTCTTCACATTCAGTCCAAATCCCAGTCCTTCACTTACCACACTAGATACTAGATATTAACTTAACTTAAAATATTCAGCAAACACACACACGCAAAAAACACAGACAGAGGAAAAAGAGAGACTTACTCAAAGTCACATGGCAAGTTAGTAGCAAGCTAAAAATGCTGAACTGACTTCCTATTTCACAGTGTGTTATATCAGCACTAAACCAAGAAACCACAAAGAAATCACTGAATCACTTACAAATATTTTCTTGGCCCACTGCTTTGGGAGCTAGTCCATGTTCAGTTTAAGTGCTTATTTCTACAATGAAAAATGACATAGTCCACCATATTTTTAGCAAAATAGAAGTTTTTTTTGTTCTTGCCAAAAGTACATCCACTTTGCAAAGTATTACCCAGAGACACATACTTGTTGTTTTCTGAATGCAGATATACTCTGTAATAAAAAACCTAAAACTAATGACTTGTCTTTCATCCCTCCAGTATGTGTTCCAAATGGCCAGAGATGTGCTGCTAAAACACAATCAAATCAAGCTACTCCCTTTGTGAAGATAAAAGACTCCTGAATGTGCCGTGCTTTTCGGAACTCTGCACATGCTAGTTTTGGTTTAATACTTTTCTGCTACCCTTTGTCTGCCTAAAGAATAGCGAATTATTTTTTTCAAGATATATTTCAACCATCATATCTTTGAACATTTTACAAAACCTGAGACTCATAACAAACTCATGTCTACTTTTATTATAACACTTTACAGTGTAATTAATTGTTGGAATGCAGTTGCTTATTGGCAGGTAACATATTTTACATATCTAGTGTAATGCCTTGGTACACTCCTTCACATATACATCTTCAACTTAACCAAACTTGCCTAGTTATTAACTAAGCAACTAATCAAGGCAAAATCACACATTTTCTACATTCTCCAGAGGATGGTGTTGCAATCATCCCACTGTGCAGACTCAATCCCTGGCTTGTTTCTACCTTAAGAGTGGATATGATCAATTTGCCAAACACTGTAACCCCACATGTCCACAATAAGCATTCAAAAGGCTAATAGTCTTATTTAATAAAAATGATTGATGTTTTAAAATTTGAGAGCAGAAAGAAAGTATAGAAGGTTGATATGGGAAGAACATTTAATGGCAGGTATAATTCTGATGAAATGAGAAAATCATCCATCATGTGAAAAGTGCCTTGCATGTGTGAAGGACAATAAGCTACAGAAGAGGAAAAGTGATTGATAAATGTAGAGAAACTTCTGATAATATAACTAAAGGATAACATGGCTCTTAAACTAGATGACAAAACATAAAAGTTTACCAGGATTTAAAGTCTGATGGTTAAAAAAAATGCTGTTTACAAAACTGTTGCAGACCTCAGCCTGTTTAGTAGATTCAAATCCATTTGAATTTGCATAGGAACAAAAGCAGCAGATAGTGTAAACACCTTAACTGCTGAAAAATTCCCTAAGAACACTAGCTGAGATTATTACCTGCCAGATTTTCAATGTAGTAGATACTGGTCTAAATCTAGGGGGAGTGAGGAAAGATGTTTGAGAGAATGACTTTTGGCTAAGGAGAAAAAGGATAAAGCAAAGCATATGATTCAAAACATAGAAAGTTCTGGCTCACGTTTTTCATGGATGGAAATACAACTAAGGAACTTGAATATCTTTCAGAACATTATTTGCTCATGTGCATATGAACTTTTGTATTGGAACCATGTTCACACAATAAGAAATAAAGAAAGGAAACAAAGGGAGGGATGAAAGGATTTTCTGGTCCAGTGGAAGAAGCTAGAAAGTGAAACACACTCAATTTTAATATGCAAGCTGAAGAGGAGCATTTCAGGAAAGGCAAGATGATTTGGAAATACTCTTCCACAGTAACTCTTAGGAATGAATATAAGGATGCATGGGAATTCTTATTAAACTCAGTCTCTATTTCCTACACTCATTTCCTTCAACTGCCTTTTTAAATTTTTTTTTGAATTCTCACTTATTCTTTCAAAACTGAGGAGACATTGTGAAAAGAAAAAAACCTAATGCGTCTTTAAGATCATTAAGCTCAGCCTCTCACTGTATCCTGAGTGCAATTACAAAATCAGAAAGAAGTGCTTTCACCTGAGGAAATTCCACAATCCATCTTATTATTTCACTTTTCAATAATATCAATTCCCCGATTTTCCTAATGTTTAACATTAACTACCTGTAATATATTCTTACATTATTCTATTTTTGTCGATAATTGGCCAAGGCTTTTTAAGGCCTGATAAATACAACTTAATAGAATCACAAAATTACCTATCATCCACTAAGTTCTCATAGGCCAAATAGTATCTGCCAAATGTTGATGTATCTCCAAACACCTGCACCCCAACCCACTAATTCCTTAACTGGTTGGCAATTCACAATACTACAAAATAAAGACTTCGGTACACATTAGTTTCTTGTTATTCACTTATTCTACAAAAAGTGTTAAGCTCTCCCCTCAAAGATTATGTTTTTGAGGACACTTGTGATTATCATGGCTTTCCTCATACATCTTCTGGTCTATGCCTCTCAGACTTTTCTTTCTGATCTTAGTTAACATAATCAGTAAAAACTGCACAAGATCTATATTTGGCATTATAAACTTATTTTGTTTTGCCAAATAGTATAAAATTTGCAATCTGCTATTTGTAAACGTTAACTCTCTGGATCTGCTATTATTCCATTGCTTAATCTAATTTTCTTTTTACCATAAGGATTAATTAAATTTATCTCTGTGAAAAATCGGCATGTCTAGTTGATTTCATGTAATTTTATTTGTAAATTAATTAATAAAGAATTGAATGATTACATTTCCATATGTACATTTTTATTATTTTATCCATAGTCATGATTCCCTTTGAATCATATTTCATTAGTTTTTTTGAAATTATTGTGTAAGAATATTTTGGTTTTTTTCAGTTTCTCCTTTCCTTATTTCTCCTTTCTAGTTACTCAAACCACTGTTTTCAAAATTATTTTCCACTTCCACTGTGTTAATTATGACAATTTCTAAAAATTTTACTTATGCTAGAAATCTGCATCATATTTAAAGTCCTCATAATTATTTTGGCTATGTAGAACTTATAACAAACCCTCATGTCACAGTCATTAAAATTAATAAGACTTTTAAGAAACATTTTTCAGCGTGTTTTATTTTTGATGTCAAATCCAATTTCAGTTCAACAAAATTCTACTGCTTTAGAATGAAACTAAAAATTTAAAAATATTAATAATTAAAACCAAGGAAACAGATACAATGAAAATCATATGGGTTCCATTTGTTTTATAGATTTAAAAAGGTTTTTTTTATTCTGAAAATGGATATCACAAAGCTTGGCTTCTTTAAGATAGTTTCTTCCACCCCAAAGAGTAAAACATTTAATATTAATTCAAAAACTACACAGTGTATAAAGCTATCCTCAGATTCATCTAAAATGGAAGTAAAGCAGAATTATATGAATAATCTTGATAATGAACTCCACATTCTGTTTCACTTTGCTTTGTTGACACAGTCTCTGGACAGGGAAGAACTGTGAAAGTTATTTTAGCCTCTTAAATGTTAAGTGAAGTTTCTAGTAAATAAGTTACTAATAAATTCCATGAAATGAATTAAAGGTTACCTCAGGTTTATTTTTCTCAAAATATCTATTTCTGATTAAACATTTTAAGATAATATTGAAAGTATGAGATTATAATTCATATAAACAAATATATATAATATATGTGCAGATAGGTGTGTGATATTTTCAGATACAAAACTCAAGTCCTATTCCAACTCTAATTATTACAATTGAAAACTATTACTATAAAAATTATTGCTTTGGAATACTCAAAATCTCCTAAACAACCTTTCTGGATCCAAATCTTCATTAAAAAATACAAAGAATGTTTAACCCTGGATAAATAACACATTCTAAAAGTACTATCTTATGTTATTTCTGCAATGAATAGTAATATTTTCCTACATTTGAAAGCCAATGGCATATATATTGCTAAAATGTAAACAGAAATTAATAATTACTCAAAATAACACATATTATGCAATAAAATGTTAAATCATGTTTCAATTTAGTAAATATTTGAGAATATTAAACTAGAAGAAGAAATAACTTTGGTTATCATGAACTAAAACAGTGATTTCTCCATCTTGATTAAAATAAGATGTTGAGTTTTAGTTTACCCAAATTACAGCAAATCACAGTTAACTACTTTAATATTTTGATACCTAGTGTTCACGCAAAATAAAACCATAATTATAAGCAAGCTACACATATCAAAGTAAAATAGATACTGATTAGACTCAGAATTTGTTTAAAGTACAGAAGATTAACCTGCCAGTTTAGTTACCTACCAGCAATGATTGGATTCTATGAGTGTTATCACCTCTACAACCAGCACCAAAGAATAATCCCTCTTCCCATAACATAAGCACCATGCCAAAGCGATAACCAAAGTAAAAGATCTGATCATGAATAATTTAGGCTGGTTGGAATCCACTTAGTAGAGGAAAGAGAAAAGAGAAGTGGCTAATTAGGGCATTTCCTGAACCTTGGTTGGAATTTCAGTTAAGGAAGAAGAAATGACACAGCAGTTTCAAGTAAGAGAACTTCCTTTCTATATCTAAAATATGTTACCAATTTGAGAAACAGCACTCCAGCAAAACTACTCCACCACAGTACTGTGGCCACAGTAAAAGCTCTCCTTTCATTTATTACCCCATAAGTAACATTTCTTCCCAGGATATTCACAAACATTATATGGTTGTTACCAAAATGGATGGGAAACTCCCATATTTATTGCAACATGTTGAGTCTCACATTTAACATTTCTGTAACAAACTGACCTGCACCAATTTTCCGTTTTTTAAGAATTGCAATTTTATTTAGAGTATTATAATTTTTTGAGTTTTTATTGAAGACCATCAAATTTCCCATGTTTCATATAATCACATTTTCCTTACATATAGTTTTACTTTCAACATGACCCCAGGATGTTATTTATCTTGTCCAAGAATATTTTATCTTCTCATGTAGATAGAAGGAATACAATTCAGCTTATAAATTTTCTAATTCTTATTTTCATAACCCCGTATTTTTAAGGGACACAAACACTCATTTATTCACTGCCTTTACAAATGAAACTTCTAAAGAAGTCTCATTTTACATAGTAGTTATATGCATAAACTTATAAAATCTAAAGATACAACTTTCTTCCTGAACTATAATTTGTGCTGTGAAAATCTGCCTTCATCCTGTAAAAGTTACACCTTTTGTTTATTTTATCTATATTTAAAAACAATATATATGAAACAAAATGGTCATGTTAATTACCAAAGTTTCATGCAAAATTTATCTTGCCTTCTTGTTTTAAAAAATCGCTCGTCCTACCCAAGTTACACATGAGCAGAGTTGATTCTGCCATGCTGAGGGCAGCCTTCTGACAAACCTTCCTTTGCAGGCCATTGGAAGACAAAACTCTCATTCGCTGAAATGATGAGGTATATCGAAGTTTAGTCAGAGCACAAATAGCATCTTCTCCAAGTACTTAGAATAAATCCTGTCACACAGTAGACAGTGTACATTAAATACTAAGGCTTAATGTTCTTTAGATTAACCTCTCCATCAGAACTAATACCATATTTATTTATTTATTCATTCATTCATTTATTAATAAACTTCTATTGAATATCTACCACATATCGGGCACTAGGAGACAAAGACAAACAGTTACGGTTATTACCCTGAAGGAGGTTAAATCTAATACAATTCGGAAGATAAATTACCTATGGTTTAAATTAAAGAGAGAAAAATAGTGATATAATGGGTAATATATGAAATAACAAAAATAATATAAGGAATAAAAGGATTATTTTCTTACATATGATTTTAAGAGAAAAGACATTGAAATAAGAAATGCCAGGAAAGGGATTGTTTGGTTTCTAAAGTCAAACATATTTGTACGCACTAAAATAATAAATAATGTCTAAGTTAAATGATATTTAACTTAAATATATTAAAACTTCATACAGGAAAAAATGCTGCTTGCAAAGTGGCAGCTAACACACTTTTGGAAATTGACTTAAAAAGTAGTTCTTACAAGTAAGGAAGAAGCAGACCAAAGGATAGAGTATTAGCCCTTCAAAAAGAAAAAACAATACACTCGTTATTCGGATCACTTTTACAGAAGCCTCAAATATAACAGATTCTTATTAAAATTTATTATTGACAGTTGATTTTATACTTACATACCTGGGATGTTGAGTCTTTATGCCCGTAACTATGCCACTAATCTTACCAACAAGTAGCCAAGGTAATTATTAATCTATGAAAAACTTCCAATGTGTTAAACACTGAAAAAATCCAGCTTCTTTTTAAAAAAGAAATCAAGTAAGTAAGTCGAAGGCAGAGATACATCTCTTTTAAGAAGTTTGGAAAGGAAGTCCAAGATCAGTAGTACAAAGAAAACAAGCAAATAAAATCAGATGTGAGTATATAATTTATATGCCACTCATGGATATGAATCATACTTTCAGAGAGGTTATATTACAATGAAGTCACTTGGCAAATAATTGATATTGGTTATTCAAAAGTCTGGTTTCATGACCAGTTTTGGGAAGTGCAGAAGTTAATGTTCCCTGTTTTTACATCACTCCAAATTCTGTGTGAATAATACTTTATGAGAAACACTGAATATCAAATCTGATCTTGAATTCCAGTATCATTTAAGAACCACATACATCTAACATACAAGAGTTGATCTCACTAAAATACTAACACTGAAACATCTAGATTTCAACTATTTCACTAGCATACTATAGTATTTGTAAACTTTAAAAATAGATTTTAAAACTGCACTTAAGTTTTATTCTGTCAAATTTAATATGTCCTTAACAAGAAGCACACCAGGTATGAGGGCTGTGGAACACATGTAAAATATGCACATCACTATATAATTGCAATAGTAGTGCTTTTTCACTTCTGAAATGCGCTTTGTCTACTTCAGTGAATTTAACAAATCTCAACTTATTAATCCACCTGTGTCAGCAGCAATGCATGGACTTACCATTGCTCCATGAGAAATGGGTAAATTCAATCAAGAGAATCAAACGACTTTCCTAAGTTTGTCCCAGACTCAGTTTGGAAGAACAAGGAGTCCCTAGAAACCTTAAATACATTAATATAATTTAATTATTCTATGATGTCAAGGGCTTTAAGAATTCTCTAGAGTTTTTGTTTAATTTTGGCATACACTAGCATATTAAACAAAGAGTCAGCCCTTCTGAAATTTATGGAGTAGGTAAAATTTGTCTTTAGCATACAATCTCTATGTCCTTTTCCCTTTTGCCAGACAGGTGCCATGATACCGTATCATCTCCCCACTTTGCCACTATCTACAACTATTTTTAGAAAACTCTATAATTAATTCATTATACACTTTATTCACTAAGATATAAATGACTGATGAAACATAAAATATTCTCCTTCCCAAGCGCATTTGCATTTGAAAGGTTATGAATCTTTAAGGTAAAGAAAGGAAGATATATTTAAAATTGGGAAGGGATTATTATATAAAAAATTTGGGAAATCAAAAATATTCCACGGAGACTGTCATCTAATCTGAGCACTGCTATACTCAGACTAGACAATGTATTATCCATAACATATATAAAAGTATAAAGCTTCTCCTTTGCAATGTTAGGATGTTCCAAATGAGATGGCATCTCCCATGATTGACACTGCGGCTCCCTAGAGATTAGAAAAATGACAAGACTTCTACAGTCTGCCAGAATTGTACAGTTGCTCTCTGTCAGACAGGGGAGGATAGGCTATGCTGTCATAACAAACAACTTGTAAAAAGCGCAAACTACTAAAAACAAAATGTTATTTCATACTCTACACATCCAGTATGGATTAGTGAGGGAGCTCTGTTCCACATAGTTACTCAAGGACTCAGGATCTGGAGGCCCCATCTCCACACCACTGAGGCAGGTAAACAGGATAAGAACTGCACGGAGGTTCTTAAAGCTTCTGCAGAAAGTGATACTCATAAGTTCTGTTCATCATTCATTGGTTAACATGGTCAATGACCATATGTACTTCAAAAGAAATTAACCTGCAATTCTACTATGTGTTGAGATAACTAAGATATTTGTTATTAAGACCAATGACTGCTAACACTCTTTTACTAGCTTTTAATAATCAACTTTTCCGAGGGAATTGCTCTTTAATAAAGATTAGCTCTTCTATAACGTCACTAAAGAAACAAATTCAGTCCATGCAATAATAAGCTATGAGTTTTATTCAATGATTTTACTATAAATACACACAAGGGGGAGTAGGCACAGAAATAAGAGAGGAAGCAGATAAACAAATAGTTGAAAAGGATAATTTTGATTATCATGATTTGGGGACACAAGAACTAAACTAAAAGAGAAGCTCAATGTAAGAGTATGTGGGCTAATCAGTAATGTGATTTTTGTACTTAAGGTCAACACTAAACACATCTTCCAGAATTTATCTGTCAGGAGAGTAAAATTTATCTGCAAGTGGAGCATCTTTCAGAGGAGCATAAAAATTTGCAAGAGACGTTTCACAAATTCAAATTTACAAGCAAATATAAATTTTTCCTAAGAAAACTACAAGAAATATAACAATTATTTTTATTTTTCTTATTTTTAAATTCTTACCAGAGACTATGTTTATTGATTTTTTTTTTAGAGAGAGAGAGAAAAGCAGAGAGAGAGAGAGAGAAACATCAATGTGAGAGAGAAACATTGATCAGCTGCCTCCTATAGGCTTCCCCGACCGGGGATAGAACCCACAATCTACATATGTGTCATGAGTGGGGTTCAAACCTGCAACCTTTTGGTGTACAGGACAATACTCCAACCAACTGTGCCACTCAACCAGGGTCAATACAATTTTTTTAAAGGAAGAAAATTTAGAGGAAGAAAATTTAGAGGAAGAAAATAAGAGATATGAAATAAAAAAATATGCATAAATATTTCTCATGTTTTTTCACTCTTAAAAATACCCATGTATACATAGGAATCATCAATGAGCACTTCTTGTTTTAATTTGTAATTATTTATTATACTTAACTGATAAAACTATACTCTGACAAAGTATAAGAAGGAGGAGAATGGGTATAAGATTCTCTTGTTTCTCATGAAAGAGGACACAAGATGCAAAAATATAACAAAATCTAGATATGACCTCAATAAAGGAGTAGAATAAAGCAAGGCATAAATTTCTTTAGGGATAACTCATACCCTTGTTGACAATAAATATAGTTGTCTCTAAATTCACCTTGGTCAGTAGGTGCTTCATGATGTGGTAATTAAACAAAGGAAAATAAAACCTACTAGAACTTCAGTAAACGTGTCAACCAATCTAAAGAAAATTAATGTATTGGCAACTTTAGTCTTTTTAAAATTAATAATATCTTAGAAAG